TGAATATTTTGTTTCTAATAAGGCAAAACTATGTCGAAGCTATTTTCGAAGTTGTCTAAATTTTAATGAACAGTATATTGCGAATAAAGTGATTATTGAAAACTTTTAATATACAGTATATGAAAAAAAAATGTGAGCCTTGGTTTAGACTGCAGATAAACTAGTCTGAATTTCTTTTCTTGCTATTCTAGGATATAAAGTTTAAATAGATTCTTTTCTTTGTAAGGTTTTCTTTTCACTGTAGAAGAATTAAATTAAATTTTAATAAAGTTAGAGACATGGTCTCACCATTAATATCCAAAAAAAAAAAAAAAAAAATGTGAGCCAATAAACCATCTTTGATTAAATAAGTTTCAAGACAATTGGCTAATTTTTCAAAAGAAATTCATAAGAGACTAACAGGTCAAAAAATGATTCTGTCGTTAAAAAATTATTTAATTAGTATATTTAACTTTTTAAATATATCAAATTATAAAATTATAGATAAAAATATTATATAGCTTGCTTAATAATAACTTCAAATTGTTGAATCAAGAAATGTCTTAATATTTTATTTGTTTCGCTGCTATATTCATATAGATCAATTACGATTCAGAATATTAGATAGTAATTTTTTTGAAACCTCATAATTTTTTTATAAAGCAAATGTGTAGTATAAATTTTAATTCATTTTTTAATCTTAGTGATTACTATACATGCTACCAAAATAAGTTTTTAAAAAAACTCTATTTTGTCACTATTAGAACAATTTGAAATTTTTTATATACAAGAGCAAATCTAATTTAGCTAGTTATATTCCTTATAATTTTGTCTTTTTAAAAAAGTGTCAAATAATTTCGTCTTTCAAGTAAAATAGGTCAAAAACAATTTTGTCTTCAAATTTTAATTTCGTATCCCGAAATCCAAAATAATTTTATTAGTATATATAGTGATTACTAAAAAACAAAAGAAATAGATGCATCTAATGAACTATCAAATAATTTTGACAAATTCTATTTGGCTGACAGATTATCTGCAGGATGAATAATACGTCTACAAAACTCAAATTCAGGCAGTTCATCATCTACAATTTCACCATTTTCTAACCAATTTTCAAGATCTAATATGTCAACCTAAGCTCTCAATTATATTTGACCAATTCTCTTCATTGTCATTGTCAGAAGTTTCAGAATCATCAATTATTTTTTCACTAGTCATTTCAATAGTCTTAATTGCTTTAGTTGCTTCACTTTGTTTAATTAACAGATTGTTAGATTCAATTGTTGAATTGTTAAAAATTGGTAAGCTGACTTTATTGTTATTATTTATAAATAAATCTTCTAATTCTTGTAGTGCATCTTCATTATTGCAAGGTAGGATAGAAGCTGCGATGTGAATTTTTTTAAATTGTCATTCAGATTGTTCAATATTATTACATTTTTGTTTGCTTAGTATGTCACTGCATAGTTGGCTCATTAATAATACCTTTTTATGCTTAAAATGAATTTTAAGTTAGTTATGTAAATTTAAAATTTGGATAATATTTATACATACTGGCAAATAGTTTCATCATTTTGTATATAAAAAACCTATTATTGACTATAACCATTTAACAAAAGCTGAATTAACACATATTCCAAATAATTGTAAAGCCAAGCAAGTCAATTCTGGTACAAAACTCTTTGCTGATTCCCAAAAATCTATCATATTTTCAAATTGATTATAAGTTTCTTTATTAAAAGGAAATGCTTCGCTCTGATATAATAAAAATTCACACAAGATATGTGTTGGCACTTTTCTAAACCATAAATGATAATAATAATTTAACTATTGACCGAAATGTGAATAGGAAAGACCAGAGACACAGAAAGAAAACTTTGAAAGCCGATATTTTGAATACAAAACAAATGATAATAGAAGTAAAGGTTGTTCTCATTAGAACCATTGATGTTCTAAGTGATTTACTATATGATTTGAAAATTTATTATCTTCATAGTCTGCAAAGACCTTAACAAGCCACCCAAAATAGTGTAAAACTTCATATAGCCTTGCAACGTCTTTTTGAAGTTTATTTAATACGCAGCACAAAGGAAATAGCAAATTTTGAAGATTGTAAAGCTGATTCCAAAAGTTGGAATTTTGTATGATAGTTGTAATATCAGGTGGAAGTGCCTTGCTTATATTAGTATTTTCTAATACAAATTGTTGTTGTGATTGTCCACTTCGTGATATACTAATTGTACCAATTCTTGTTAGAGAAAATTTTGTTGCGAGTGTCTAATCATATAGAATAAATAAAAATAATTACATATTAGTATTGTTATACTCTTAACCTACATTAACATTAATCTCATTAATATCAACCTAAACAATAAAACGAATTTCTATATATTAAAATTATATCAAGAGTCTTATTAATAATAAATACTTACTTTAAGCGTGGCTTTAGTTTTTAATATAGAATGAAAACAAAAATAAATGCTATTCCAGTGTGTCTCAGCTGATATAAGGAGAGAGATAAATTGTCTATAATATGATCTTTGCTTATCTTGTAGCAATTCAGTAAAATATAATGATGAGTGAAAATAGCTTACAACATGTATAGCATTTTTTAATACCTTTTTATATATGTTAGACTCGTTGAAAATATCTCTGATGACTAAGTTTATTTGATATACCATACAAGGTATGAAAACTTTATTAGGATATTTGATTCTTAGCTATCATCTATTAAAAAATTAAAGTATATATAATTAAGCAAATTTATAAATTAAAGATGTTATCTTGCTTTGTGTAATATAATAATTTTCAAATAACTTATTAAAAATAGATTGGATTAATTTTTTCTAACAAGTAATTTTGTTTGAAAAGACATTAGTAACGGGTTTGATTAGTAGCAAAAAATTAAAAAATCATACTCAAAGTGAGTAATTGCTTTTAAGCAGTTTTAAGACAAACTAGTTGCATAATCAAGTTTCAAATGATAATATCTATTTTAAATTACTAACTGCTATTAGTAAAGTATGTTCTTAAGAGCATTATAAATAAGTTTAATTAGTCATATATCAAAAAGTAATTATAGTAATAATGAGCAAATTTCATTAAGCAGATTTGAGCATTTTTAAGCAGGATAATATCCCTATAATAAATGCTAAATACTACTAACCTCGTGGTGGTATATTCACTAGTTGAATCTGATACATAGCAGTTAATTTTTATACTCTCTATTTTTGCATTATCTATTACATTTTTAATTAAAAGTTTTATATTTTCAGTTCTTGATCGTTAATTACTAATATTGCGTGCATTCCAAACTAAAGCTTCACTCTGAGAAGTTATCAAAATGATGCCAAAAAAGTGCTCTTGCTTTATATTTGTCCAGCTATCAAAGGCTGCAGTTACTCTAATCTTGTTTACTCGTGCACACTATAAAATTTCTTCAATTAATATTGTTAAAGCTTTTAGAAAAATTCAATCACTTATCGCTCGTCGATTAGGCAACTTTAATATTAGCATAATAAATTTAAAGACATCTTAGATTTCTTGGTTTTTTATAAAAGTAAAAGAAAGACTATTTGATATAATCATACGTAATAAAAATTTTTCAAAGTGCTGATTATCCTTGTCGGATAGTTGGCATGCAATATAGTTGTTAAAGGGTACTTGCTGTTTTATTTTTGGTGGTGTAGATTTACTAGTTGATGAAATAGATTCATTTGTAGAAAGCAAATTGGATATTGAAATCTCAGAAATCATAGTAGAAAGTTCATCTTCTAAATCAGAATTATCCTTTCCTGCTATTATTAATGTAAGCTATTAAAATATTGTAAAATGATATGCAATGTTTAATATATTTATTTTTATTTTTTTTTTGAGTCTTCAGATACTGATCAAGAAAGAATCTCTGTAATCTTATCCGCATTATACTGTTCATTAAAATTTAGACAACTTCGAAAATAGCTTCGACATAGTTTTGCCTTATTAGAAACAAAATATTCA